CTTGTGCCTACGTTCCAGCACCCTATCAGTTATTTGTTTGGAGTAGAGCAGGACTTTCAGCACACTTGGACCACTTCCTTCATATTTGGGTGATATGGGGAACGTTGAGTTGGCAATCACGTCGTGGAGAGAGAGGGTTTCGTCGATGTAGCGCAAATCATCCAAGTTGCAACCTTGGGTCAGCGATTCGTCGGAAGACTGGATTTCGGGAACATCATGGATAAAGATTTGTATTTCGTCGGTTTGCTTGCGGTATTCTCCTGGGTTTTGCTTCATTTGCCGACGCTCACTCCAGTGGATGTCAGGGAATATATGAGTACCGATTGATGAATCACGAAGACGGTGAGTTGACGAAAAGGCGGTCTCCACTTCGGCACCAGACTGAAATGCCACCTGAAGTGGTCTGGGCTTGCCATTGTGAACTGAGTTTGGGTGGCGGACGATGAGAAGCAAACCTACCTGTTTGGCTTGGAATCCCATTGCTTGGCATATGGATTCCAAGTGATTCAGGTCGTCCAGTCGTTTGTCATTAATAGAACAATGAACAATGAATCTATACGGGTTAAGCGGCGTTGCTTTACAAGTCCCGTTTGATAGTTGGTGGGGAAATCAACATAACCGTAATGATGATAAGAATAGTAAAATAGTTAATAATTGGAATATGCCTTAGACGCAGATACGCTGGAGCATATTCTCTTCATGGAGTTCTGCGTCTTCTTGGTGTTGGGAATTTTAGATAACAGCGCCTCCTTTTACTGGCGGCGTGGCAGGCAGTCTTCTAGTAAAGTTTATATATATATATATATATATATATATATATATATATATATATATATATATATACTGGGCCATGTTAACCACAGCGAAATAAAGGGAAAACGAAATACAACATGGTAGAAAAAGGATTTTCTCTTCGTTTTACATGCGATTTTGAGCTATTTTGAATTTTTCTGAGTTTTATGTTCCATGACGCGGCAACTAATAGGTAACGCAGTGGAACAGCACTGTCTCTACTGAGACCTGTTGCGTGCTATAGCCTCCAACGTTTCTAACCGCTGGGAGTCCGAATCGCATGGTCCCCATCCTGGAAGGCGTACCGGTCCGACGGATGCTAATCTTGAGTTTACCTACGTCATGCTCCTTCTCCACCTCATTGGTCGTCCACCGCGGCACTTTTTCCAATGGCTTCCGCGGAGCACAAATAAAGCCCGACGAGGAAGGCAATAGGATGGCATGCGCAATACAGTGGAACAATGGAACATTGGTATATTACGGGCAAAAAGCGGAGACTTAGCCAGTACCGTAAGATGTCCAGAAAGACAACCACAACATGGTGAATAAAAAACAGTGGCAAAATGAACATCGTCTTTGTGGACTCACCAGTGTTCACACAGAAGCATGCAAAAAGGGCCAACCTAATTCGTGCAATCTTCGTCACATTATATCGTCTATCGAAACACACAGGCTACATCTCATAATGTAGGTGGGCTGGAGCAACTTCAAGGCGTCTTTTAAACACAGGTGAAGTGGGGACAGAAACAAGCTAATTTGGGATGGCCTTCAATGGCTGACACACACGAAGAGAGTAAATATTCCGTCGACATTCTAGCTGACTGTACTGTGTGGCTAACTTGAACTGGTGGCCCCTCAAATTCCTGTTGTGACTGAGTTGTAGTAGGTGGTGCCAGACGTGGTTGGGGTTCCTTAGAATCTGGTAGATCATAATAAGGTCGCCACGTAGACGCCGATACCGGCCGCTGTATGTTTTAGGATCCCCAACCTAAGTTAATAGGGAAGATTGAACAACCCTTTGATGTGCTTCCTTGCTCGTCGCTAGAGAGTTCCGAACGCTGCAACGTGTTGCTCGTGCCAGGGCTGCCGGGCTTGCATTGCGTATTCCACATGAGGCCGCACTTAGATGTTAAGCAAATGCAAACAGACAAAGGGATCATACCACATAAATATCCACCGCAGCATGCCAACGAGTTGTTTTCCAGTCTTTGACGCCTTCTCAGATTGTTCTGAGCAGCCCAGATCAGCCTTGACTAGTACCCCCAACGTCGCGCTCCTGGGTGGCTGCTAGCAGGACATGGTTTCCAAGCTTGTATTTGGTGTTCGGCTGTGGCGATTGGGAACCATCTTACACTTCGCCGAATTGAAATGGAGCAGTTGGTGGTGCTGCACTCATAGGCCCTATCCAGGTCTCGCTGAAGTGCATCGTGATCCCTTGGGACGGCAATCGTCCGCAACATGTTAACATCATCAGCGAACAGCAAGAAATCTGAGGCAATCAAACGCGTAGGCTCATTAATGAACACGAGAAACCAACGCGACCCCAGAACCGATCCTTGTGGAATGCCAAATTTGACATAAATCGGATCGGACAGCGCACTTTGAACTCTGACTTACAGTTGCCGATCAGGAAATTCCTGATCCATCTAAAGACAGGATCACCAACTCCAAAGCTTTCGTACCTGTGAAGCTGAATGCGGTGGTCCAGTCGGTCGAAGGTATTGGAGAAGTGGAGGTAAATGACGTCTGTCCCTTTGTCTTCATCAACCGCTTCCATCCAACTACTGCGTGCAAACAGGTCTGTACTTCATGAACGGTGCTGGCGGAAAGCATGTTGCTCAGGTGCTTTGGGGTTGTGGCGTTCTAGCTGAGCTACTAAAGCCTCAGTGATGATTGCCTCCAGCACCTTTGCGAGCACAGGGAGGACGACCACTGAGGGATAGTTGGCGGGTTCCGAGCGATTACTGCTTTTGAAAATTAGAGTGATTAAGCCATGTTTCCATATGATAGGCACAATTTGCTTATCCGCGTAGGTTTGGTGGAAAAGCGATAATGGTCCGGTCAGCGTCCTTGCTGCTACGTTCAGCGCCCTCAGGTGAATATGATCTATTCCGAGGAGAGCTGTAGGTGCATAATGAGAGCGGTTTCTTCAACACAACCGTGACAGTAAAATTGATTTTAGTGAGTGTTGAAGTTGGGGCACGGGATTTGTGCATGTAACACTGGTGGAGGTCTCTTTGGAAGGTTGGGGCATACTGCGTTCGTAGGGCGTTGGCTGCCTCTTCGGCACTCTGGGCCACTCCGACTGGCGTGTTAACTGGGGGGATACCGAGCTTCACTTTTCGGATGGTGTTAACATGCTTGTATAGGAACTTTTTGTTTTTGGCAAATTTACAGGCCAAATGTTGTTGTTGAGTCAATTTGTCCTCACGGACAAGCATATTACAATGGTTGTGCTGGGTCACGTAATCGCTCCAGCTTTCGGGACTAGGACGAGCTCTGTAAGTGTGCCAAGCTGCATTCCTTATTGACATGCACTTTCGGGCTCTACTTCTGATGAAAGACGATGGATTGGTGGAGCGAACCCTCTTCGTTTCTGAAGCAGTTGCGATTAGATTGCTGAAGCGTCCAACAAACTGCATTCCGGTGCAGTCAGGTGAGCCACTTTTCAAGAATTCCCAATCGGTCGTCTCAACTAGGTCGTTCAGAATGTTATAATGTGTGATAGTATGTGTTAGTTCGGTGTGTTCCTCCGGATATTCAGCGTAACCCAAATAGTTAGAAAGTATGGTGACATGATTGTTTAACCCTAGTGGGCTGTCTATAAATGGCCTGTTGACCATGAGTTCGTCATTTGTATGTACGAGGTAAAGTACCGATGAGTTGTTATCAGCTTTGTACCTGATAGGTGAGATGATGCGGGATACTTGCGATAAGCTCTTTCAGTGCAGCCTTGTATGTTTCACTGGGGGATGCCGAGATTTCCAAGTCTTGCAAGTGGAAATCGCCGGAGATAGGAACGTGGCTGTAAGTTAGGAGTAAGTATGTCATCAGTGATGATATAAGGTAGGAATCCATCTCTGGAGTGGACGATAGGGTGCCGAGTGGTCTGCATGTTTGCTTTGCAACCATAAGGTCCCCGGTTCGAATCCCCTGTAGGGGTGGGCGTCCTCGCGGTATACTCAGCCCGCGCGCGACTGGTGGTGGTTGCGCGGCAGCGAAGCGTAGTTACGGCGTGCAGCTGACATATTATCATAATTATCACTATTATTACTGTCACTATTTACTCAAAAATAAGCTTGAATGCCCCTGATTTTTGTGCAAATCCCATGGAAATTGCAGTAACGGATGAAACTATGCTGTATGATAGACAATCCTGCAGAGGTAGAACAGCTGGACAGCGCTGCTAAATCCGAGTTGGATAAGTGTAAGAAAGTGGCGTAGCAACTGCTTTTGCCGCTCGGAGCGGTGGTATAATGTTCGCCCTGACCCGGGGGAGAATAGACGCTTGAAAACCACACAATTAGCTCAGGGTTAAGTGTACATTAGTTTTTGCTGAAACGGATGAGCACTTAGGACATTAAAGTAAGTATGGGGGAAGCGACCACAATGGGACAAGTAAGGGGCTCGCTGAAAAGGACGCATGCACAGGTGTCGTACTGGGTAACGTTAAAATATTCAAACCATAGCTCCTCTGGAAATTTTGATATCGAACAATCAACGGTGCTAAGAATGCCCCCCTGTCACATGCCTCCCGGGACGGACAGCACTCCCGCCACCTTTGCTACGCTTCTGCTGTAAGCGCAGTAAGGTGCGTCGAGAATTTCGTATAGGAGACCCAAAAACAGAAGAGCATCGGTACTGCACAAGCGAATAGAATGAGGCGCTGTGCGATGTTCTCAGACAAAGTGATAGTTGGATCCACAACGGAAAGTAGTAAAACTGGGAGTGCCGGCGCACCTCCTCATTTAAAACGTCAAAATCCGACTGGCACTTTTGGCTAACAGGTAGAAGAAACCACCAACTTGTACCGGAGATTAAAGAGCCTGGTCGCGTACCACTATAGATTCACTGTTTTTAGTGTGAGCAAAGAATGTGGGTTTTGCATAAGCCTGAAAGACGCCAGTGATTAGTACATATTTGTTAGGTCCAACTTTAGTTTTTTGTTATTTGTGAAAGGAGTCCCATTGAAAGAGAATTGTACTGACCTTGCTCCACCAATTCCAGGGGAAATGTGAAAGATTGTCCATATAAACAAGGTTCCTGGCCCAATCGAACTTCCACTGGTTCAGATAACTTGCGCAATGTAAAGCATTCAACCTTTGAGCTAGATCATGGTTGTCTCGTTTAATTCGTTCACCCTCCTTTCGCCAGTATGTTTCTTGTAAACTAGAAGAAATATGTTATTGTTTAAAGGTACTTGACACCTCTTTGGTTTGTGGTGAGGTTGGTTGGGTATTTGACCGGATGACTGGGAAATTTGTTTAATTCGAAGGGCTAGACGTGCATTTTCCAGTTCGTTATGCCGCCGAGTTTCTTGTTTGAACTGTAGATAAACCAACAGGATGGGGCGTGAACAACGCAAGTTACGCGACAATTTTTGGAATTCAAGTGTGACAACTGGAGTGACTTGGGTGCGCTTGTGTCCACGGAAGGTTTGAGGTTTGCCAACTAAAAATACAGAGGTCAAAAGCAATGTACACAGATCTAAACAAACTTCGAAATGCTACATGGCAAGATCGTTTGAAGAGTGCAACTAAGCGGTGCTTCTGGGTGCGGTGCCTGTAGTTCAACCCAACTGGCTGACAAATCCAAACTATCTGGCATATAATTTGACCAAAATGCTAGTAAAAGGTTTCGCAGTGAATTTACAATGGCAGTGCGGCTATACCACACGTAACACAATATGTACAGATTCATATCCATTGGTATAGAACTCGAAAAATAAAATTACAAATACCATCACCGACTGGATTCCAAAATTAAGGAGCAGCAACACTACGTTGAGGGAGAAATACTTGCATGTATCTATCTTATTGCAATCGCGTCACCAGTTGGTGCCCGAAGGAAGCAGCATTACTTAACGCTTTTTAGGAATAGCTTGCTATGATATTTTGCTTACTTTTGTCACACTTCCCATTGATCACGTTAATGTAGGGAGAACAGTGTAAAGCTGAGGAAACAGTAATGAACCTGAAGATATGCAATCTTTCACCAGTTTATAACAGCGGACTTGTGTTTGTCCGTACCCTTTGATTGTCCAATGATTTTACTACTTGTGTATCCACGATCACGTTTTGACCCGAATCTGACCTTGAACGAATGATCCTGCTAATCGCATATTTTTGCACTCCGGATATTTTCGCCGTTGCTCCGTGGCATTTTGTCGCATACCACTGTACCCATACATATTAGTATTGTTTTTACCAGCGTTAACTAGCAATACCATTTTCTCGGGTACACAACAGTAAGTCTTATATTTGCCTGGAATTATAAACTCCGGGTAGTGCTTCAACGACACACAAGTGCAAGTTTTGCACAATTTCAATCGTCAAACTCCAAGTTTGGTATCGTACGATAGATCATTTCAATAGGGTCCGAGCGAGCTATGACTCGTTCAATTGCAACACTGCGTCGATCTACTACAGGGTGATCCTGGCTTCCCTAAAGCAAACTTCACCCAGTAGCTAGGCCAGCGATGCCCAAATTCCGGCCCACGGACCAAATGCGGCCCGCGTTATAATTTCAACTGGACCACAGCCTCAGCATAAACTAGTAAATTCAGACTTGGACGTGTTTCGTACATATGTAATCTTTGTTATTATCTTACTCGCAGACTGAGAATGGCCCGACATATTTTTACCTCACAAACTGTGGCCCACCTTGCAAAAACGTTTGGACACCTTTGAGCAAGGCAAATCCGCCTAGTGGTCAAAAGACCAAGCCACATAGGTCCGTTAACCCTACAACTATGGGACTGCAACACAGACACAGCCGCAATTTACTGACACGAAAGGGAAGGCCTGGAGCCATCGTCCCGGCGTCACCGTGTTATCATGACCTCAACGCGCAGACGTCACTCGACGTATTTACGCCCTTAGAACCGTAACCTAACGTGTGCTAGCCCCGCCACCAACTTGACCTACAGCGGGTGGAATTAGCCTTCGCGTGTAGACCTTGAAACCAACGACATCTGCAGAACTAACAATCACAATAGTACGCCTGCTTGCCGATGGAAAGCTAGGCCTAAAGTTTCAGAGCTGAACGTTAATTGTGGCGTAGAAAGCTGTTGAACTTGTGCGATTAGGAATAGTATGCATAAAATGCCATAAAAAGTCCACTCTAAATGTGCTCGCTTTAGGCGCAACTAGACAAAAACGTTAAACTGTGATTGCTTCCAGCTAGTTCTGCACTAAGTGTAGGGCTCTTCCACTCGTCAGGGGTACGGCTGCATTGACACAGAAACGCGACAGACTGACAAATCTTGTAGAGTAAGTAGGCGCCATGGGAACTGTTAAAAAGGAACCAGACAACTCAGTGTCTCGAATTTGGTGCTCCACATCCAACTCCAATTCAGAATAGTGTAGCCAGGCCGAATATAAGAGCATCGATTAGGCGTTAGTCCGCCGGACGCTAGGAATTGCTCACAAAGATGCATTCTCTACACATTCTTCCATAGAGTCACGTGCCACATCGATAACATACGCCTCCGTTGTTGCTATTCACTTGATGGAGGCACCTCCCATCCTAATCCTGCCTACTTCCAAACTAGATTCAGTTAATACTACCAATAGCACCATGAGACTCAAGACGTCATCAGTTGTCCAACGAAAGAAAGCTGCCACCTCTCCCTCCAAAAGGAGAACATGAGACGATATTATAATTCTTCTGATGGCATATGCTCCAGTATAACTGAATCCGGGGCGAACTCCATAAAAAACAAGATATCAGCTGACAAGCAACAGTGGGACATCCTGGCTCAACTATTAGGGATACAAACTAAGCCGGCTAGAAGGATGCGCTTCATCCATCACCCATACTCCTTACCCTACGGTGAACCGCGGTTACTCCAAGTAACACTCCAGTCACCTAATGATGCAGTCGCAGTTCTCTTGGCAGCCAATCGCCACGGTACCGCGCCATGCACTGTTCGAAGTTTTCCGGATGTTCCTTGGAGTGAATGTCAGGAACGCAAACAAAATCCGGGTGACCTCCGTAAAGAAAAAGACGTAAAATCGACCATTGTCCACGGTGTCAACGAGCTCCAAATAGTGAGTGAGCTAGAGATAAAGCGCATGACTTGGATGAATGGCGTTTTATCCGTGAAGTTCTCTCACTCGAAACTGCTACCACCAGTTCTACATTATGGCTACCGCAATCACCTAACCACAAAGGATGCGACCCCCGAGTTATGTGAGTAACATAACAATCCCAAACGACGGTAGAAAATGTGATCGAAATATGTCACGAAGTGCATAAAATGCAGCCATCCCAATCACCTATAAAATCGATAGGTACCCGGCCACAAATAGAAAAGGTAACACCGAGCAAGCAGTTCACCTCTGCACCCCTATCAGCATGTAGCTCAGTACGGGGACAGTGTCAAAACACGCCGGCAGCTGAAGTAGGACGGAGTACTCTACACAACAACCCAGAATGGCCCTAGTGTAGAGCGGCGGATTCCAGTGACTACTCGTGAACCGGAAGGACAACAAAAACGGGATTGCAGAGGATTAACAACGGGCTAGGGCGCAATGGATGAGACGAGACAAGGCTCTTCGAGCGCTTCGGATCGTGCTGACGGCGGATCACGCGCGGCAACTGGTAACGAGTAAGGGCCCAAAACATCGGAGGAGATACTTGTCGAGAACGCAAGGAATCAGACAAATACATTGTTGTGTTGTGTTTTATTTTACTATTTCTGTACCTTCGTTTGAATCCCATGGTTTCTGATGGCATTATGTCTGTTAACAGACTTTTGCAAAAAAAAGACAAATACGCCGCTAGCCCAGCCCACAGGAAGGAACGCCGGTCGAGTGATGCACCCACAAGAGAGTAAGTCGAGAGATTTCGAACGACTCATGGACGGCCAGAATCGGATGAAGCGAAGCTAAGATACGGGCTAGAAAGCTGATGGGGTTGTCTCGAAACCCAACCTCTGTAGGCACCTGGAATGGAGCTTCACCCAAATCCTCATCCGCATTGCGTTGTAGGAAGGAAACAAGGTCCCAATCTGTACGGGTTTGTGAGTTGTCAGTGGCACGTTCTTGTGGCAATACACGGTCTGCTTCCCACCCCCCGGCGTCGTTTTTGTTACACTAGGGCCACCGTCATCGATGCTACAAAGAACCACCAACAGTCGACCCCGCAAGGGTCGGCATAGATCCTCACCGGAAACCAGCATTCACACACACAACTGCTTGCATACCAGTGTACAAGGTAAGGTCAGCAAAATAACAAGACTTCGTACTTGTCAGACCTCCATGCCTTGGGACATAGTTATGGTCATGGAAATATGGCTGGACACTGAGAGCACCGATGCTGGGATTGCTCTACCTAGGATGGCTTCACTACGAAACCATCGACCTAGTACAGGAGGCCGCGTGTCCCTGTATTGCCGATCCGACATGCATGGTGATACCATGGACGATCCAGAAAAAGTTATCGATTCGCTTTGATGTTGTTTGTACCAAAGACTTGGTGATGTGCATTTACTAGCAATGTTTTACCGCCATCTAATAGCCACCTTGGAAATGGATCATCGCGTAGCTTTTGCAATTAAGCGAGTCCTGACAAAACCACACAGCCACGTCCTTCAGGTGGGGGTTTTCCACTTTCAGCCAATTGAAGCCTCAACATCACTCGACGAAGAATTCAAGACTGACTTGCGAGTTGTAATCGCCAACGTGCTACTGTATGATCATGTCACCACTCCCACGCTATTCAGAACAAGGGACACACCATCTGTATTAGAACTTGCGTTCACTAACGAGGAAGTAATGCTCGATACAGTGATTCTAGTATGCACCACTTGGCCGTAACGGTGATGTTCTTTCGTTAGATCACCACCGCGGAGTACATCGGTAAGAACGACGACATACACGTCATCGCCTATTACGATATCCTGTCGTACCTCGTTCAAGAATCTGACTGGTCCATCTTAATCGGGCAACCGCCTGATGTCACCTGGTTCGTGTTTGTCATACAATTAACCGCGCTAGTGACAAATGTGTCGGAAAGCAAGGTCTTTCGCCCAAAGTAAGCGACGTGCTTCTTGAGGTGCCTTACTAGGAAATGCATGGCCTTAAAAGATTCAGCATGGCACACTTACGAAGCATTCCCGAGTAGTCAAATATGGGACGCTTACACAACTCAACGAAACCACGGAGTCAAGTTGCTTCGCGAAGGCAAACTCTGGCACCAACAGAACTTAGCGGCGAGGGTTAATAAAAATCCTAGTGCTGTACAAGCATGTCAACCAGCCCCGAAAGGTGCAGCGCGGGATTCCAGTTTTACGTGCAACAGATGGCCTGGCGAAAACTACGCAAGACGCGGCCAAAAGGCTTCGCCAATATCTCATCCACACTTTCCAGAATGAATCATCATTGCACTTACTTTTGACACAGTTCTCCTCGCCACCAGGTTTAAGCCACGTGTCGTTCATAACAGCC